CCCCAATGACGGAATTTGCTTTTCTTATGGCAAATTAATATTTTATTAGCTTTTAAATGAAAAGAAGTATTTCTAATACACAAGATAAATTTAGTTTAAAAAAGACCGACGATTTAAGGCAGTTTAAATTAGTTAAATGTGAAAAAAGAAATAACGTGTCAGAGAAGAGTTCTTATTGTTGAAGATAAATTTGCAACACAACATTTTTAAAAATTTTTTTTTATAAAATTTACGTGTTAACTCTCTAGGTATCTTAGATACTAAAGACGTAAATTAAATAAGGAACATAAAAATATATAATTTATAATACCAAATTGCTTATTACACTAATTAGAATGCAAAACATGAAATTTGTTCTTTCACTGGTGTCAGTTCCTTCACTGGTGCCGTTACCCTAGTTATTAATAAAAAAAGAAAATATATAATCAATCATATGATATAGTTATTAATTGTTTAGGGCTGAATAATTAATTTTGAGTTCGTTCTGAATGAAAATAAATGAAATAATTTTTAATAATTAATTTAAATTTTTCATCTTTTTGTAAAATTTTTTCTCTAACTTTGTTTTCTCAATTTAATTCAAAATTGCTCATAGGTTTATCTTTAAAAAAATATAAAATAAAATTTAAACAAAATTTAAAAATTGCCTGTCAGTACCTAACAGCTACCAAGGTCAAATCATCTATTCCCTAAATTAATAAATCTATCATAAGTAAAGTAATTTATCAAATATATCCCCCAAAACTTGATTTATTTAATATGTTATTTAATACATAACATATTAAAATGCTCAAACTCTTGTAGCAAATAAATGAAAAACTCATTTACTTCTCTGAAAATTATACTAAATAAAGAATTTAAATAAATTATTTATTTCCAAAATTAACTAATTAATTGGAGAGCAAGGATTCATAATCAATTGAATCTTACACATTAACCAATTGACCGCCTATTGCAATGAATTTGAGATATATGTATCTTCAAGAGACTTACGATTTGCTTTTGTTACCACTTAAGGATTCAGATAATAAGGTGGTACTCCGAGTTATCAGAAACCCCTCAAGTCTTTCACCATGGCTTGACTTTGTAGAATTTTTGTAGTTTAAGTCAAAGTGATTATTCACTTTTTATTTCTTCTACTTGCCTAACCTTGACTTTAAATATTGAGTTTATGATTTGTTTAAAATAGTATTCACTTATATAATTATGAGTTGGAACGGTTGTTACATCAGCCCCCCAAATATTATATAAGATTATAAAATAAAAAAAATACAAAATAAGTAAAATAAAAAAACTAATATTTTAAATAATAAAAAATTGAATTGAGCACTTGTTTTTTTTATTCTTTACAACTTACTTTAATTTTGTTAAATCCTATCTCAACGGGATTAAAAAGTAGACATTCCAAGCTAATTTTTCCAATATTATAAAATTTTTTTAAATTAAACCAATTATGGAGAGATGGGGTGGTCCGGTTGACAAAGAACGTCCCATATATATGTTAGTTGCCTGAATAAATTTCAGAGAGTGCCCGAATTTGGTCTTTTTCTCTATTTATTAACTCGAGAAGACGCTTCATCCCCCAAATTTCACTCTATCCCGTGTAAGTTTAAATTTAGCAAATGTGTAAGTGAAATTCTGACAGCTGATTGCTTGAAAATCTGCGGTTTTCCCTTCCTACCTTTCTTCGTATACTTTTACTGTATATTTCTTACCGCCAAATTCTTCCTCTAATCGCATTTTTCGCGGCGTCCTATTTTCTCAGCCAATAGTATTTAAATTATTTTGGTAAGGACAGAGCGATTCTTCTCTTTCTATTTCCGTTGTAACGTATACAGAGAACAATGCCATTGTTCAGCTGTCAATCACTTTTCTATAATTGAATATAATTTCTTTAAATCTTTAATACCTTAAAAAATAATAATTTGACGATGATTTTACTTTTGCCATTAATTTTTAATAATTTTTACTTTTATATGAGATATAATTTTTATTTTATTATTATTAATTTAAACAATTAAATAAAATAATTTGCATCATTTTATTTTAAAAAAATGAAAAATATGGTTTATTAATTTTATTATAGTTTATATTCATTTTTAATATTCTTAATAAAAAAATATTTAAATTTATATTAAATTAATAATTTCCTTTTATTCGAAATTATGTCTTTCTTCTCTTACTATTATTTTTCTCATGTATATTTCTCTATAGTGTTATCTATGAATGTCTTCTATCTCTTTTTATTATTTCTGAAATTCTATTTCTCCAGATTTAAATTTATTTCTTAATATTACATTTCTTTGATTTTTATAAATAATTTATAACTTTTCTTTTAAATAATTGATTATTTTTATAGTAATTTTACAAAATAAAATAATTTTTATTATTTTATTTATCAATATTTAAATTAATATTAAAAGATATTTTATTTATATATTATTAATTATTTAATATTTTTTTATAATATTTAAACATTAAATTTATTCTTCCTATAATCATATCATAATCATATGATAATCATATCAGACTCTAGATTTTCCTTTATTTGCATCTAAATATTTTTAATCTTTTGACTATTGGAATAACTTTTCAGTGTTATCATCGTAGTTAAATTAATTCGTATATATAATATAATATGTGAATTATTATATACTATGTATGACGCATATACTAAGAGTATCTCCAGTATTTGTGTATGTATGTCTAATACAGTGAAGTGCAGTATAGTGTTAGTGTCGAAACGCTGGATACACCAGCAAGGAATGCGCGTCCAAGCTGAGCATGCGCATTCCGCCTAAAATGGACCTAAACCAGAGAGTACCTCCGATGGACTTGCAAATCTATAAATATAGTTAGTTGTAATCTCTCTCTTGACTTAGATCGTTTGATTCCTCAAACCTCCTAAGTCAACTTAATCTCTACTTTTATATTTAATAAATATTAACGGTTTTACTCTTGACGAAGAAATAATATAATTCTTCCTCAAGGGCAACTCGGTGCGACCACGTGGTGACGCCTTAGATTTATTTGAATGTGTACATTGGATTTTTCTTCCGAATTATGTACATGAAAATAAAACAATTTACTAACAAATGAACTTACAGGAATGTAAAAGATTTAAATTTAATAGATTTACATTTTAAAAAAATATAAAATATATAAAAAAATTATACATACCATTCTTTTTCTTCAAAATGTAAGTGGATTATGAATATTTTAAATGAACAAATCACTTTTTTCACTACTCTTTAACGATAATGAAATTTTTTTTATAAATTATGAGTTTTTAAAAAAATGGAAAAAATTTCTTTTTTCACTGAACTGTCTTAAAAGAAAAAGTATGTTTTCACTGAGAGAAGACTTTTCACAATGAGAATTTTTCGCATGTCTGATGAGTTTTCTCTTTTATGGTACATATTTAAATTTGTATTTTAGGGATGCAGGTAAACTTAAGACAATGTTTAAATGGTGGTAATATTTAAAAAAAGACATATGCAAATTAGGGGGTGGTTGGAGGTCAAAAAGGTGGAATTAGAGCAAACGAATACATTTCCGCGGTTAGTACCACATCTTCATTATTCTTTTCAAATAGTTTTTTTAATTAAACAATTTATTTTATTTACTTCAAACTTGTTTTACATGAAAGAAAGGGTCATATACTATTCCCAGTTGAAAAATCTTATACAAGATCATGTACATTTTCTTGTAAAAATAAATGCTTTCTTCATTAAAATCTCAAAAACGTAAAGAGATAGAGAAAAATGATCAATGACGAAGATGTAGCTGATAAAATTTTGAAGAAAAAGTTTCTGGGCTCATTATGTCAAGATGAATATATTACGAGATAATTGAGTCAGAAAGTCTGATGTTTGTGTAAAAAAATTAAAATAATATGTATTTACAGTGTTTTTTTGCAAAAATGCTATTTTCTTCACTTATATCATATTTTCTGAGTCTATTGTGATGAGAATGTGTTAATTTTAAGAACTGATTTTTTCACCTCATTAATAAAATTTAATTTTTAATGAAAATTGTCTTTTTTGATATTTTTCGACATTTAAATCTCTGTAACTTTTACAATGTCATTTTAATCAAAAAATTTTACATTGTGGCAAAAAAGCCATTTTTTGACACTATTGGCCCGTTTTTTTCAAAATTGAGACGTGATGGACAAGTTGCGTTGACGGATTCGTAATCTACAGGAAAAATCCTATAAGAAGCATCAGCGATTGCTCCTGTTGCAAAAATATATGTTTAAAAGTTCAAGGATGTACCTTTATTTAAAAAAACTACAACACTACGTCATAACCGTTCTCCGCAAAAAATTGTCAAAGTTTGTGTTGATTTTGACCTCCGCAATAGGAATCTCCCCTTATACCGTTTTTCTTAAAATTTAAGAAAAAAATTTTATTTTCGTTGCTTAATGCTGTTTTAAAATTTTTTGTTTTGGTCTCAAAAAATAGCATTTTTTGTGTACTTTAAAATCACACTTTGACAGAAATGGGATCTGCTTATTTTCAAGGTCATATTTGACAAAATATATATATTTATTTTTAAGGCCATTTGAGGAGTTAGATCCTCTCTGATATCCAGTAATTTCCAACTCGCTCTTCTCATATTCTCTTCGCTACTTGTCGATAATGAGAGAACACTGTCAATTAAAGTTGCTTAAGACACATTATATCAGGCTTTATCAACCTAATTTATTAGCTAGTTTAATCTCCTAAAAATAAGTAAAACTTATAAAATCTTTCACGCTTAAATATACAGCTTGGCACGTAACTTAAGAGATATAATAAAATGTGAACCGACAGTTGGTCATTTAAGAAGATCAGTAGTTTAAGACGTAACTTAAGAGATATAACAAAATGTGATCCGATAGTTGGTCATTTATGAGGATCAGTAGTTTACATTCACAAAAAATACGTTAATAATATAAACTAATGTTAAGAAAAGATCACTTTCGTTTAAGTAAATATAAAAGAATCTTTTTTCAGTAAAACCAGCTATAGTAAAGATTTTCTTCAGTGAAGATCCTGTTTTATCCGGACGTCCATTTACGGCTAAGTGTCAAACTTGGGGAAGTTCACCGGCAGCAAGAATTATTTGGAAACTAGGTGGATTTGAAATTGGTGAAACTAATATTTTGACTACTCAAAGAAGTAACTCAACAATTAGCAAAATTAATATACTCCTTAGTAAAGATGATGATGAAAAAGATCTAACATGCAGAGCAGAAAATCCAAGATTTCCTGGTGGTGTTCTTGAAGAAACAAGAACAGTACATGTTACACGTAAGTATTTGCTACGTTGAAATTATTTTTAAGTCTCCATATCTTTTTAGAAGTTTATTTTCAAACATACACTGATAAAAGAATTATAGCGAATACGACAACGCCTTTTTAATAAGATTCACATATAATTACATATGCAACAAACGTCTAAACAAATAATCGTTGTGTAATTTAAAAATATTTTACACAATTAAATCAGTTGGTGCAGAAACAGCACACGGTGTTCTTGAACGAATCGAAGGTTCTTACAAATTCAAGTGAAAAAACCATTTACTTCATTTAAACTAAAAAACAAAGGTTTCCGTACCTCGATTTAAAAGAAAAGTCCACTATTTAAAAAAATTTTATTTTACGAAAAAAGCTGAATTAAAACAATTTCCTATCATGTTTGTTAAATTTTTCCTTTAATCTACACATAAAAACATGTAAAAATGTATTAATTTGAAGCCCTTTATTAAAATTTTCTTTGTTTTTTGGGGAAATACAGGATTTTTATCAAAAATGATCAGTTTTTTTTGTATTTTTTATTTGAAAAATCCCTGATTTTTTCTAAAAATATAAGTTTTTTTAAAAAACAATATGATCTTGACAACGCTATGTAAATCGTATGAAGTCGTGCTCCACCTTAATGTTTTTATTAAGGCAATTAGTATGACAAACTTCAACTATTGGCATATTATTTTCTCGTTAAGAACGAACTTTTCAAGTGGTACCCGTTATCTTTAGCAGCATTTTTCGTGTCTTCACAGATAGTGAGTAAAAATTTTTTTCTGAAAGTTTTTTGTCTCTTAATGTTTAGATATTTCAAAATTTTTTAAAGTGATGACAATGTTTGATGCATATCAATTAGCTGTTATTAATAACTTTTCGACGTACAAAAAAAATTCACATAAACATTTGATGTATTCATTATTTTATCACTATTTTGAAAATGTAGAAAATGGGGAGTTGTGCTCCAGCGTTAGTGGAAAGTTGTGCCTCACATCCTATATAACAGTTTTTAATTCTAATTCGCACTCCCTATTTCTATTTCGCATTATTTATCAATAATTATAATGTTTTATGCAATTTAAATATTGTTCTTTGGTAAAATGAGAGTTTTTACATCTGTATTCACTGTAAATAAAAATAATAACCTAGTTTAATTTAATTATTTTTAAAATAGTTTAACTTTACATAAATTAATCTTCTATTATCTTATCTATTACTTTATTTTACGTAAGTTATATTAATTTTCCACATATCATAATTTAAATAAAGAATATTCTTAAAAATATACGTTTTTTTCTTCAATTTTCAACGGTGGAGAATAACTCCCCATTGTTTTCGAAAAATAATCAAAATTTATATTTCTGTTTTGAATTTTAATTAATCAATCATGCCAAAAGTTGTGTTTGTACGTGTACTAAAAGTTTTATATAATAGAATAGTAAAAAAAAAATTATATAATAGTTTTGATCGAAAAAGAAAACCTGAGAAACTATGGGCAAAGTATGGGAAAAATATGAGAGAAGTATGGTATAGTATGGAGAAACAATGGCTTCCGATTACTTCCCATACTTTCGTTTACACAATAATAAATGACCAGAGAATGGAGAAAGTATGGGAAGAGTATGGGATGCAAAAATTATCAATTTTCTTCAAAAATTTGATTTTTTCGTCGAATTTTTAAAAATTTCAAACTTTTGGAAAAGTCTTTTAAAGAAAAGAAAATTATTTGTTTAAAAAACTTAGTTCTTTTTCTCAAATTTCACAGTTTTGAAAAAGTATGGGAAAAATATATGAGGTGTATGGAAGGCAAAATTTTTTAATTTTTCTTAAAAAATTAAGTTTTTAAAAAAAAATAATTTTCTTTATTTTAAAAGGACTTTTCCAAAAATTTAAATGTTACGGACGGATTTCCGTAATATTTTAATTTTTTTTGCTAAATATTATTTATTAGAAATAATATTTATGTTTATATTTTTATACTATATTGTTATTATATTATAATACTTATACACCTACAACATGAACAACACAAACACATTCACCTATTAAGTTTCGGGAACTAGAATATTTAAATAATACTTCTAAATAATTCAATTAATATTTATAATTTCGTTTTTTTTTTTATTTTATTTAATTTCTAAATCAAAATTATTTCGCAAATGAATTCAGATTATTGAACCTCATATTGCGAAATAATTTAAAATAAATTATTGATCGATTGCACAAGTTGTGGGACTTACACTGTAAAGAGTTGCCACATTATTTTGGAAAATAAGGAAACATATAAAGTATAAAAGTAAATTAGGTGGTTGAACCGATCACGCCAATAGTAAAATGCAAGTTTGCCAAAACTTGCATGGAGACAACGAGGTGTTGATTGCAAAATCAACCCTCCCACCTCCTAAAAATCGCATACCAACAGGGCGTGATCGTTGCCACCAAATTATTGTTCAAGGAGTCCTTAATTGTATTTCCCGCAGAGCGGATGGTTTTTTCCTCCTAAAAGGCGGATGATTATAAAGTTTATTTCACACTGAGAGTGGTTGAGTGTATTGTTTATTCCCCGCAGTAAGGGTTGAAGTAGTTGAGTTTACCTATAAATACAGAGAATATTCCACAATCAGTGAAGTCGATCATTATATAAAAGTGCGTTAAAAAGAGTTTAAAAAAATTAATTATCAAATATAAGTGTTATTGGTGATAAAGGTGCAAAGTCTATTTGAAATTTAAAGGTTCTTATTTAATGTCACAATTATTTATATTTCAAATTAACTGTAAAATAAATTCAGACTTGTTGAACCCAATGTTCTGAATTTTAATACTGGATTTGTGATATTGAAATAATTGTTGAAAAGCAATATTTGAGGCAAGCGTATTAAAAAGAAAATATAAAAGATTAAAAGGAAGGTATAAGACTTCCGCAGATCTGAGAATCATATGTCAAGCACGAGTTTTTAAACTCTATGAGTTGGAAAAGTAACTTGATACTTTTCATAACACTTTATTCTTTATTATTCTGGTGAGTCGCATTAATATTACATATATTAATTAAAACATATCGCTGGGTTAGTGGAAAAAAAGGACACGTCTTGGTTAAATCAAACGGACGTGTCCTTTTTTTCCACTAACCCAGCGATATATATATATTCTAAAAACGAGAAACATACATTACTATACACAGACCACACACACAATTTGTCTTCTTTTATTGAAAGTTTTTCTTTTATTAATTCTTTTGTTTTCTTTGTCATTTCTAATAAATGACAATTTTTTTGTGAGACTTGATTTTTTTTAATGAAGTAGTAAACGGTAAATAAATTGTAAATCTTTTCTAACTAAAACCAATTGGGGAACTGTATGTAAATTATTGGGGGTTCAATGAATAAAAGTAATCTTGTTTTATATTAATTCAACTCTTGATTTATTTAATCACCTTTATACGTATTTATCTCATTTCTTTCTTTATAATCATTTTCGATAAAATACCGTCTACTTGGGGGTGTTGAATGGATAACACTCTGAACAACAGTCCACTACCTTTTTTCTAATTTGCTTAGCGAAGAGCTATAACGCTTTCCGAATAAGCGGAAATGTTAAGTAATAAAAATTAGTGTTATTTCTAATCTTATTATTTTTCATCAAAATTATTTTACTTTATTTTATTTTTGTTAATTAACATCCGTCTTTAACATTAAATTTTTAAAAAATTGGACGAAAAAAAAAATTTTTTTAAGAAAATTGATCATTTTTGCATCCCATACTCCTCCCATACTTTTTCAAAACTTTTAAATTTGAGAAATCTGACGAAAAAAACTAATTTTTTTCAGGGACTTTGTCAAATGTTTGAAATTTAGTTTTTTTTCAGGGACTTTGTCAAATGTTTGAAATTTGAGAATTTCTACGAAAAAAAGTAAATTTTTAAAAAAAATTGATAATTTTTGCATCCTATACTCTTCCCTTACTTTCCCCATACTCTGGACATTTTTATTTTGCAAACGAAAGTATGGGAAATGATCAGAATCCATACTTCCCAATACTTTCATTTTTACGCGGATCCCCACTCTCCCCTACCAAATTTGAGATCTCTATGTGAAAAGATGTGGGCGCCGGAGGGGGGTTCATAGCCATTTTGAGGGATTTTTTGTAAAAATTTATGATTTTTCCTTGATAATCAATTCCAATCAGGTTCGCTATATTTTTTGTAATCTACACGCGAAAATACATATGTGTATCTTTCAGCCCTCTTGACAAATTCATGTGGCCGCTAGAGAGGGGTACATGCCTTGCTTCATTAAAATATTACATTTCGTCAAATAATAGGCAAGTTTTGCATTTTTGCTATTATTATAAAAAAATTATTAGATCGATTTATTTAACAGTTATAAAATTAATAATTTTGTTTAATTAAATGAAAATATTATTTAAACTATGTAGAAAATGGAAGAGGTCTTGGTGGAAATGGCAAAGATAAGGGAAATGTGGACACGGTATGAAGAAGAATGGAGAAAAGAAAAAGATAATGTATTGGGAAAAATTGAGTAGTTTGGAAAAGGGGATTAGTGATAAAGAGGAAGAAAGGAAGGAAGATGTAAGAAGAATAGAGGAAAGAATTAAAGGACTAGAGGGCCTAGAGAAAAGAATGGAAAGTTTAGAGAAGAGGGGAGAAGTTGAGAACGTGGATGGGATAATAGAATTAAAGACGGAAGTAAAAGAGCACAGAAGAGAGATGGAGTTCATGGAGAGGGAAAGAAGGAAGAAGAACATCGTGGTAAAAGGAGCAAAGGCAGATAGAAAGAAGGGGAGAGAGATGGTAGAAAGAGTGCTAGAAGAGATAGGGGTAAAAGTGAATTTAAGGGAGGTAAAGCCTGTTGGTAGGGAAGATGAGGAGGGAAGGGTTGGAATGTGGCTGGTAGAATTGGGAAGCGAGGAGGAAAAGCAAGAGATCATGAGAGCAAAAAGTAAATTAAGGGGGACGGAAGTAAGAATTGATGAAGATAGGACGAGGAGAG